TTCAACCCTCACTCATGTTTCTTCTAATGTCTAACTTTTAACAGCCATAGTTTATGACTTTTCAATCTTCAGATTTAATCCAGATTCTAATTGTTTAGAAACTAAAACAGAAGCTGCTGGAAAAGTTCAGCAGGTCTGGCAGCATCTGTGAAGGAAAAAAACAGAGTTAACGTTTCGCGTCCAGTGACCTGCCTCAGAACTGATGGTAGCTGGGAAAACGTTGGTTTATATGCAGAAAATAGGGAGGGGAATGGGTTAGGGAATCAACAATAGGACAGAGCCCGAAGAGAGAGAAGAGCAGTTGGAAAGACAAAGGAATTAGTGATGATCTGGCTTGGAGAGTGAATACTTGTTAATGGGGACTGTTAGTGATTAACAATAGGTGTTGTGTAATGGCAGGCCCTTAGATTACAAGGCCCGGATGTGTGGGGTAGGTGGCTAGGACATGGGAGAATTTAGGCCCTAAAATTATTGGACGCGATGTTAAGTCTGGAGGGCTGCGGGGTCCCCAAGTGGAAAATGAGGTGTTGTTCTTCCAGCTTGCGTTGAGTTTTGCTGGAACACTGCAGCAAGCCAGAGACAGAGATGTTAGCCAGGGAACAGGGTGGTGTGTTAAAGTGGCAGGCAACAAGTAGCTCAGGGTCTTTCTTGCGAGCAGAATGTAGATGTTCTGCGAAGCGATCACCCAGTCTATGCTTCGTGTCCCCAGTGTAGAGGAGACTGCATTGTGAGTAGCGAATGCAGTACACTAGATTCTGGAAAGTGCAGGTGTAGTGTTGCTTTACTTGAAAGGTATGTTTGGGCCCTTGGATAGTGAGGAGGGAGGAGATAAATGGGCAGGTGTTGCACCTTTGCCGATAGCAGGGGAAGGTGCCGTGGGTTGTGGGGGCTGATGGGGGTGAAGAAAGAGTGGACCAGGGTGTCCCAGAGGGTACGGTCCCTGTGTAAGGCAGACAAGGGAGGGGAGGGGAGGGGAATATGTGTCTGGTGGTGGCATCTCACTCGAGTTGGCAGAAATGGCACCTGATGATCTTCTGGATGTGGACGCTGGTGGGATGGTAGGTAAGGACAAGGGGAACCCTACTGCTGTTCTGGGAGGGAAGAGACGGGTTAAGGGCGGAAGTCTGGGAGATGAGTAGGACCCGGTTGAGGGCCCTATCGGAAATTGTGCTGGGGAATCCCTGGTTGAGAAAGAAGGTGAACATTTCGGAGGCTCCCTTGTCAAAGTTTACTTCATCTGAACATATGCAATGGAGGCAGCGGAACTGAGAGAATGGGATGGAGTCTATACAGGAAGCAGGGTGTGAAGATGTATAGTCCAGGTAGCAGTGGGAGTCGGTGAGTTTATAGTGGACATAGGTGGCCAGGCTATCCCCAGAAATGGAGACAGAGATGCCAAGGAAGGGACGGGAGGAGTCAGAGATGGACCAGGTGAAAGTGAGGGTACGGTGGAAATTGAAAGCAAAATTTATGAACTTTTCCAATTCTGGACGAGAGAGGGAAACAGCACCAATGATACCATTAATATATCGGAGAAAGAGTTGTTGGTGGGGGCTGGAATAGGACTGGAACAAGGAATGTACCACGTACCCCACGAAGAGACAGGCATAAATGGGGTCTATGTGGGTACCCATAGCCAGCCCTCTGACCTGAAGTAAATGAGAGGAGTTAAAAGAGAAGTTGTTGAGGGTGATTATAAGCTCAATCAAGCGGAGGAGGATCATGGTGGGTGGGGATGGTTCAGGTCTTTGCTCCAGGAAGGAGAGCCATAAGACCCTCCTGGTGGGGAATGGACATGTAAAGGGATTGCACGTCGATGGTAAAGAGGAGGCAGCTGGAGCCTGCAAATTGGAAGTTTTGAAACCGGCGTAAAGTGTCAGAGGAATCACAGATGTACGTGGGCAGAGATTGGACCGGGGAAAGAAAACGGAGTCAAGGTAGGAAAAGATGATACTGTAGGACAGGAGCAGGCTGAAACAATGGGTCTGCCCAGACAGTCCTATTTGTGGATTTTTGGAAGGAGGTAGAAGTGAGCTGTGCGGGGCTGGGGTACATCAGCTTGGAAGTAGTGGGAACGGTAGGATACAAGATGAAATGAGATCAGATACCATAGTAGATACAATGGCCTGATGCGTCATGGTGGGGTCATGGTCCATGGGAAGATAGGAGGAGGTATCTGAGAGCTGGCACTCAGCCTCTGCAATGTCAGTTCGCCAGACTACAACAGCACCACCTTTATCAGAAGGCTTAATAATAAAGTCAGGGTTAGATCTAAGTGCACATAGTGCAGTCACTTCAGAGAGAGATAGGTTGGATTTGGTGAAGGGGGTAGAGAAATTGAGGTGACGAATATCTCGTTGACAGTTCTCAATAAATAGATTGAGTGCAGGTAAAAGGTCAGAGGTCGGGGTCCAGGTGGTAGGAGAGTGTTATAACTGGGTGAATGGGTCTGTGGACGAGGAGAGGATGCTTGACAAAGAAATGGGCATAGAGGTGAAGGCAATGGAAGAATGAATTTGATGTCATGTCGTGCTCTAAATTCATTAAGGTGGGGACGCAGAAGAATAAGGCTGAGGTCTTTGCTCTTTGGAGAGCGGAAGCTTTGGAGGGATGGTGAACACCTGACAGGGCAATTGTTCAGATTTCATTTGATCTTTGATATTCTGTGTATCTCTTTTGACTCTGCCAGTAGTGCACTGTCATCAGTATACCAGAAGATTATGTTCATACATCCAATGTTTATCCCTGAAAATACATCTGACTCCCTGTATACATATTGAATAATTCTGATAGTACACAGACTTGTTGTACACTTATCTTTACTTGATTGTTCCTTTTCTAGCCTGATTTTCATTATTTGAGCCCAGCCTAGGCTCTGAATAAATCTCACAACTTTACTGCCAATGTCACCTTTCAGCAACATGTCTATTTACTTTTAATGGTGAGCATTATGAAATTTTTTTTTAATCTGTGAAGCTGATCTGACTGTTCTGATTTGCTTCCAGATATTTATCAACAATTCTTCTTAGATTAAGTATTTCCTCTCATTCTTACCCCAGGTGTAAATCCAGAGTGTGTTTCATTTGTTTCTACTTCAAATATGTTTTAATTATGATTTTCAAGATCACTTTAATGAAAAGGCTCACAAAGTTTAGAATTTGAAAATGATTGCACTCCACTGTGTTATGCTTCTTAGGTAACATGTAATGAATTTCTTAAGTCATGTGGAATGTGTCCTTTCATACATATTTGATCACAAATTTCTGTTATTTCTTATTCCATTCCTGCAAGGGTATTTAGAGGTTCTGCTATTAGTTCAGGAGCGTTTTTGGCACAGTGAGTGATATTTCTGCCTTTGAGCCAGAAGGTGTAAGTTCAAATCCCACTCCAAAACTTGGTGACCACAGAATAATGTGGCCATGCAGGTTTATTATCAACTTGTGAATCCTTTGGCTATGCCTTTGGCAGGTGGTAGGAGTCCAAAAGTCTCCTGATCAGCCATGCTTGATGTGGAAAGACACTCTTCAAGCACTGCTTCTGGTAATAAACTATGACCTGTTCCAGGAAGAAACTAGCTATGGAAACGGACATAGGCATATGCTTTGTTAGGTTCAAGTGTCACTGGATGCAGGGAAGTGCCAAAATTATAACTTAATTTATACCTAGGGCTTTTCCTTTACAACAATTTCAAACCATTCTTTACCTATGATATTGTAATGTTTAACCCATCATTTGTCTCTAAATCCTGAGCAATTCAACAATTTGTATCATCACAGTTTTGTATTCTGTCCATATACTACATCGCTTTTGAACATTTCTTTAACATCTTTGTCCTTTAGGTACCCATTATTATCCCTCTGTCCACCTGTCAACAGTTTCGCTTCCTGGTGCTCAACTCTGTATTCCTTCTAGCTCCAGTACTTCATCTTAAATCTCATTCCTTTAGTCTATCAATATATATTCTTTATTTTCTTTTTAATTTCAACATACCCAGATGCGGTTTTTCTCCTTCCCCTTTCTGTCATCATTGCAAGTATCTGATCTGTCATCCACTCCTCTCTTATTCTGTTTTCTGTTATGGATAGCCCTAAAACCAAAATGGTATTCAGAAAATCAGAGCTGGAGTTAAACACTTTATGGTAGGGTCCTGGGGAGTGTGGCTGAACAAAGAGACCTTGGGATGCAGGAACATAGTTCCTTGAAGGTGAAGTCACAGATAGACAGGGTAGTAAAGGAGGTGTTTGGTACGCTTGCCTTTATTGGTCAATGCATTGAGTATAGGAGTTGAGATGTCATTTTATGGCTGCACTGGACGTTGGTTAGGCCACTTTTAGAATACTGCATTCAATTCCAGTTTCCCTGCAAGAGGAAAGATGATGTTAAATTAGAAAGGGCGCAGAAAAGATTTACAAGGATGTTGCTGGGTTTGGGGGGATTTGAGCTATAGGGAGAGGCTGAATAGGCTGGGGCTATTTTCCCTGGAGCATCGGAGGCTGAGGGATACCTTATAGAGGTTTATAAAATCTTGAGGGGCATGGATAGGGTGAATAGGCAAGGTCTTTTTTTACCAGGGTAGGGGAGTCCAAACCTACAGGGCATAGGTTTAAGGTGAGGGGGAAAAGTTATAAAAGGGACATAAGGGGCAACATGTTCATGCAGAGGATGGTACATGTATGGAATGAGTTGCCAGGGGAAGTGGTGGAGGTGGGTACAACTACATTTAAAAGACATCTGGATGATTACGTGAATGGGAAGGATTTAGAGGGATATGGGCCAAATGCTGGCAAATGGGACTAGATTAATTTAGGATATCTGGTCGGTACGGATAAGTTGGAGTGAAGGGTCTATTTCATGCTGTACAACTCTATGACTGTTACGGCTCTATAACCTGAATCAGAGGACTTTAAATATTACTAATGATTTCTTATTGTTTTTCCACCTTTCACGGATGTTTCCCCACTTTTGTGATACATAATATGTTCTATTTTACTGTGTTTCAGCATGCGGTGAACTACCTGAAAGTGGCCTACATGCCTCCTATCCAGGATATCGGGCCAGATCCACAGCACCTTCAGTTTCTCTTTTCAGTCAGTAATCAACATGGTGGTACATTAATTGGCCTGTGCTTCAATATTACAGTTCTCCCAGTTGACAATCAAGCTCCAGAGGTAGGCAATACCATTTAAAGTTCCATTGAAGTTACTAGGTGTCAGTTTTGACACTAAAATAAATTATTCTGGCTAATTGCTAGGATCCACAACTACAATTTTGATGCACTGATCTCATTGCATTGTACTTCTGAGCTGTTAAGAACTCAAAGCTCAATAAATTGAGCCTTCCCAATATTGGACTGATTCGATTGACAGCAATTAACTGTGCAGATCACAATTTTGGAATATTGCATTCAATCTGGTCTCCCAGCTATAGGAAGGATGTTGTGAAACTTGAAAGGGTTCAGAAAAGATTTACAATGATGTTGCTGGGGTTAGAGGGTTTGAGATATAGAGACAGGCTGAATAGTCAGGGGCTGTTTTCTCTGGAGAGTCGAAAACTCAGGGGTGACCATTTGTAAGTTTACAAAGTCATGAGAGGCATGGATAGGGTGAACAGCCATGGTTTTTTTTCCCAGGGTAGGGGAGTCCAAAACTAGAGGGCATAGGTTTAAAGTGAGAGAGGAAAGATTTAAAAGGGACCTAAGAGGGGAGGCAATGGCCTAGTGGTATTATTGCTGGGCTGTTTATCCAGAGACCCAGATAATGTCCTGGGGATCCAGGCTTGAATCCTGCCATGGCAGTTGGTGGAATTTGAATTCAATAAATATCAGGAATTAAGAATCTAATGATGGCCATTAGCCCATTGTCAATTGTCAGAAAAATCCATCTGGTTCACTAATGTCCTTTAAGGAAGGAAACTGCCATCTTTACCTGGTCTGGCCTACGTGTGACTCCAGGCCCACAGCAATGTGGCTGACTCTAAACTGCCCTCTGGGCAATTAAGGATGGGCAACAAATGCTGCCTGGTCAGCAACACCCTCATCCCGTGAATGAATTTTGAAAAATCCTTTTCTATGCAGAGGGTGGTGTGTGTACAGAATGAGCTACCAGAGGAAGTGTTGGAGGTTGGTACAATTCCAACATTTAAAAGGCCTCTCAATGGGTACATGAATAAGAAGGGTTTCTAGGGATATGGGCCAAATGCTGGTGAATGAGACCAGATTAATTTAGACTCTCTGGTCGGCATGGATGAGTTGGACCAAAGGGTCTGTTTCTCTATGACTCTAATTGCCTAGGCTCTGGGCACAGCAAGATTAGTTTTGTGGATCTCAGTGCTTATTCCCTGGGACTGCATATAATTAATTTCAAACTTACATGAGCTCCTTAACCTATTGCTTGTGCATAATATAAGGTTCCCCAAAAGGTGGCATTTGAGGTGATCCCTGGTGATACTTTTTCAATTGTCACCACTTCATTGCTATCAACAAACCAGTAAGGCCTTGACCCCACTCAAGTCAAGTGAAAGACGTGAACGTTGACTAGACTTGTCTTTTTATTCTACGGTCATTGGACGATTGAAAAGATATAAACTGGTTGTGTAAAAGCATTATCTACACTGCAGATCAGGAATGAAACGGTGCTGGACAAACTCAGCAGGTCTGGCAACATCTGGAGAGAGAGGCACACAGTTAATGTTTTAAGTAGAATATAACGTTTTATCGGAACTGAAGAACAGTCATAGAATCATAGAATCCTTACAGTGTGAAATTCGGCCCATCAAATCTACACCAACTGTCCAAACAGCACCACACCCAAACCCACCACCTACCTTATCGTCATAACTCTGCATTTACCATGGCTGTTCCACCTAACCTACACATCCCTGGACACTATGGCAATTTAGCATGGCCAATCCACCAAACCTGCACATCTTTGGAATATGGGAGGAAACCAGAACATCTGCAGGAAACCCATGCAGACACTGGGAGAACATACAAACTCCACACAGGCATTCACCCAAGAGTGGAATCAAACCTGGCTCCTGGCTCTGTGAATGCAGCAGTGCTTACCAATGAGCTACTGTGCCAAGTCATGTTGGACACAAAACACTAACTTTTGGTTTTCTCTTTCTTCACAGATGGTGCTGACATGATGAACTAATTGAGAGTAGGCTCACAACTCCTGCGACAACGTAGACACATTCCATTCCCTGTACTGGGAGGAAGTACTTGTGCTATGACAGTTTCACTAAATAAAAACCGAAAGAACTGCGGATTTGTGTGGACTTGTAAATCAGAGACAAAAACAAAAGTTGTTGGAAAAGCTCAGCAGGTCTGGCAGCATCTGTGAAGAAAAAATCAGGGTTAATGTTTTGGGTCTGGTGACGTTCTGAGGAAGGGTCACCGGACCTGAAACGTTAATTCTGATTTATTCTTCACAGATGCAGCCAGACCTGCTGAGCTTTTCCAGCAACTTCTGTTTTTGGGCAGCTTCACTAGTCCATCATCAGCAAGCTGTATCAGGAGATATCAACTGGTGTACACAGTTACAATCATGTTGAGTGTGGTTAAGATTGCCACATAAATTACTTATTATGCAGCGGCATGGTGGCTCAGTGGTTAGCCAGCCTCAGGCGACTGTCTGTGTGGCCTTTGCACATTCTCCCTGTGTCTGCGTGGGTTTCCTCCGGGTGCTCTGGTTTCCTCCTATAGTCCAAGGATGTGCAGGTTAGGTGGATTGACTGTGCTAAATTGCCCATAGTATCTAGGGATGTGCAAGCTAGGTGGATTATAGGGTTAGAGTGGGATGCTCTTTGGAGGGGTGGTGTGGATTCACTGGGCTGTTTGGCCCACTTCCACACTGTAGGAATTCTATGAATCTATGATTCAACCCATCCATCTTTTATTATTGTTGTTCAAATTCTAGATGTAGATGATGATATGTGCAGATAATGATTTTGATGGCATATGGACACTAAAAATGCACAAATGAAAAATGGGAGCACTGTTCCTCTGTAAGTGAATATTCTTAAAAGTTCTGGCTGATGCAAACTCAAATAATTCCATTTATGCTACATTTCTTAAACCATTGGCCTCCTCTGTCCACTGACACATGGGAATGTAAACTTACTAAAAAAAAGATGGTGCTAAGGATTCTGTCATATTAATCTATAGAATTTATAGAATCCGTACAGTGTGGAAACAGGCCTTTTGACCCAACAAGTCCACACTGACCCTCAGAGCATCCCACCCAGACCCATCCCCCTGTAACCCACCTCATCTACACATCCCTATGGGCAATTTAGCATGGCCAGTCTACCTACCCTGCACATCTTTGAACTGTGGGAGGAAACCGGAGCACCTGGAGGAAACCTACGCAGACATGGGGAGAATGTGCAAACTCCACACAGACAGTCGCCTGAGGGTGGAATCAAACCCAGGTTCCTGGTGCTGTGAGGCAGCAGTGCTAACCACTGAGCCACCATGCCGCCCACATGTAGGGTCAATTGATAAATAATATTTATGATAAATTATCCAGCTTTGTTCAACACATGGCATCCTGATATCATGGAACTGAACTGAGGGAGATGATTGAGACTCAATCCAAAATAAACTAAATTTGAAGGAGTTTTTTTGTTTGAGAACCCTCATAACCAACTTGAATTCGATCAGTTTTTCACTTAACTCCTTACTGTTGAAAATTAGTATGACAACTGGGTTTGACATTGTAATGAGTAATGCAGGTTATAAAACTGTGTTATGTATTTTGCAGTACTTGGCGGAATTACTGCATTTCACTGTATCACCGACCATTGTTTGGGACTTTGTCTTAAGAATCGTTGTATCATTCACATTCACATCATACATGTGACAGACAGCCTTCATTCAAGTATGGCATGGTGGCTCAGTAGTTAGCACTGCTGCCTCACAGCACCAGGGACCCAGGTTTGATTCCACCCTCGGGCAACTGTGTGGAGTTTGCACATTCTCCCCGTGTCTGCATGGGTTTCCTCTCCAGTTGCTGGAGTTCCAGTTTCCTCCCACAGTCCAAAGATGTGCAGGCTAGGTCGATTGGCCATGCTAAATTGCCCAGTGTTCAGGGATGTGTAGATTAGGGGGATGGGTCTGGGTAGGATACTCTGAGGGTCACTGTGGACTTGTCGGGCTCCAGGGCCTGTTTCCACACTGGAGGGATTCTGTGATCTATGAAAAGAGATGAGAGCAACTACTCTTGACATCAAGGCCACATTTGACCAGTATGGCATCAAAGACCCCTAGCAAAATTGGAGTCAGTGGAATCAGAGGGAAAACTATATGTTGGTTGCAGTCATATCTGGCATAATGAAAGATGATTCCTGTTGAAGAGTCAGGCAACTTGAAACATTAACTTTTCTTTCTCTCCAGATATGCTGCCAGACCTGCTGAGTTTTTCCACCAATTTCTATTTTAGTTTCAGATCTCTAGCATCCACGATTCTTTATTTTAGTATTCAAAGGTAGGGGATTGAGGTTGTTGGAGGTTAATCATCTCAGCTCCAGGACATCTCTACTGGAATTCCTAAGGGTAGTAGCCCAAGCCTAACCATCTTCAGTTGCTTCATCTTGGTCTCTCCCTTACTGTAAGTTCAGAAATGGGGATGTTGTTCTATGATTGCACAATGTTCAGCACCATTCATGATTCTTCGGATACTGAAGCAATGCAGGTTCATATGCAGCGAAACCTGGAATTTATCCAGGTTTGGGCTGACAAGTGGCAAGTTACATTTGAGCAACACAAGTACAGGAAATGACCATCTCCAACAAGGGAGAATCTAACTATCATCCAACATTCAATTACATTACTGTTGCTGAATCCCCCACTTAACATCCTGACGCTTACAATTGACCAGAAGCTGAACTGGACTAGCCATATAAATGCAATGGCTACAACAGCATTACAGAGGCTAGGATTCCTGTAACGAGTAACTCACCTCCTGACTCTCCAAAGCCTGACTGCCACCTGCAAGTCATGATTGTGATGGAATATTCCCCACTTGCCTAGATGAATGAATACTCAAGAAAATCAATATCATCAAGGACAAAGAGATAACAAGGTGTAGAGTTGGATGAACACAGCAGGCCAAGCAGCATCAGAGGAGCAGGAAGGCTGACATTTTGGGCCTAGACCCTAG